GAGTAGAAACTCATCCTATGCGTAAACGCTTGTGCATGATGTCTCAGGCTTTTATAGTGTTCCCCTGTTCCCTGGGGTGGGGGGTGAAGCGTGTCAAGATCTAAAGGGTTTGAGTAAGTGTATTCGATGGCTGATTATTCGATTCGCCCTTTGATGCCGAGTAAGTGATAGTGTCAGGAGCATTATATGAAATCTGGGATTTAACCTTCAGTAATGAGTAAAGATTAAAAAATAAATTAAACATGGCTGCATGTGAAGCAGTCTAAAGAGCAATACTAAACATAAAGGTAAAACGTGAAAAAATAAATTAAAGGACCACGATAGTGCCAGGAAAACATACCTGTTTTCCTGGCACTATAGTGCCCTGAGGGTGCCTCCATCCTCAGGGACCCCCTCCCGCCCGGCTCTGGAAGGGGGAAAGGGGTAAAAACGTAACTTTTTCCAGCGCTGGGCGGAGAGCTCTCCTCCTCCGTTCCTCCTCCTGGGCTGAATGCGCACGCGCGGCAAGAGCTGCGCGCGCATTCAGCCGGTCACATAGGAAAGCATTCAAAATCACAGGGAGAAGCACGCAAGCGCCTCTAGTGGCTGTCAATGAGACAGCCACTAGAGGAAATAGGGGAAGGCTTAACCCATTGATAAACATAGCAGTTTCTCTATATATATTTATATATATATATAAATACTTTTAATTTAATTTTAAACATGTTTAATTTTTTTTATTTATTTTTTTACACATTCCACCAGCAGGGGGACTGTCTGATATTTCAGACAGTCCCCCTGCTGGCAGATGCACAGCCAGCTATAGGGGGCCAAGTGATCGCTCTTTGAGAGCGATCACATGGCCCTCGGGGGCCTCATTTGCCGGGGGAGGGCTGCCTGGGCTGTCAGGCAGCCCTCCAGAAGAGGATCGTGGCAGAGGTAAGTAGATCAAACTTTCAGGGGGCTTAAGCCGTTACGACGTTCTATGCCGCCGCAATGGCTTTAAAGCCGCAATGGCATAGAACGGCGTTAAGGGGTTAAATCACTGTGCAATATGTTGACGTGATATACATAATAATAATTTCGAAACATCTTATATCTTTCTCAGAGTCCAAGTCTGCTAAACAATGGGGAAATTGACCTCCATTATTCTATAAATGGCAAACAATGGGAAGCAATGATAAACACAATTGTGAAAGATTTCACATCACTCTACAAAATTTTTGAAAGCACGGGACTCGTGGAGATCAGGTTCATATACAGTGCTGTAACTAATGTTAAAGTAGGATCTATAGCAATTATATTTGTCTATTGATACCTAATTGCCGTTTAGCCTACCCAACAAATCGATAGGATGTACCCTTTATCATTATTTCACGCCCTGACCTTACTTTTTGACCGCACTTGCCTTTTTGCCACAGGATGTTGTAAAGTTTCATTTGTTTTTGATTCCAAATTCGAGTAAGTCGAGTAACTGTTTGATCTTTCTTTGTATAATAAAACATTTTCATGCTTAAACTGGTGATATTGCAATACCAATACATAGAGGCAATCACTCAAAATAGAAAGATTGAGAAACGTGTTCCAATGCATGGTGGCAGGGAACTCCTGTTATATGAAAGACCCTCTTCTGCCCTCGTGCATGTTTAATATATGCACGATTTGTGAATTCCTGCAAACTATGGCAATTCTGTGTTCATGAAACTCTAAAGTTACTTTCTTTTTCTTCTTAGGTGGGAATAAACTACCAGCCACCAACTGTGGTGCCTGGGGGAGACCTGGCAAAAGTACAACGTGCAGTATGTATGCTAAGTAACACTACAGCAATTGCTGAAGCTTGGGCACGTCTTGATCACAAGTTTGACTTGATGTATGCAAAACGTGCTTTTGTGCACTGGTATGTTGGTGAAGGCATGGAAGAAGGCGAGTTCTCTGAGGCACGAGAAGATCTGGCAGCCTTAGAGAAAGATTACGAAGAGGTTGGTGCAGATTCTGTGGAAGGAGAAGAAGAAGAAGAAGAAGAATACTGAAGTATGGCAGTTTTGAAGAAAGTGAAATAGATGGAAATAAAATTTTATTTTATGACTGAGATTTTTATTTTGGTGTGTGTATGTAAATTTAATATTTTTCAAATTATAATTTTTTTCTTAAGTTTTATCAAACAAGGCCTGACTAGTATTGCATTAATGGCCCCTTTCCAAGTACCTGATGCTTGGTCAAAATCTTTTCAACTAGACAAGAAAGAAAAAAAATGGAGTAATGCGCAACTGGTATTTAAAGTGCTACCACATTTATTTGAAGGACAATGTACAGGATGCAAACATTTCGGGCAATAGCACTTTATCAATGCTAATGTACTAAGTTATAGCATGAATTAAAATAAATATATATACATAATAGTGCTCACATTAATTCAAGTGCCGCCACCCACATTTCAAACAGGATCAAAATCAGCAGTGTAGCTAGTTGCAGCATCCATCTACCATCCTGGGAGCTCCATTCACTTACTAGTTCGTCAAATCGTACGTGATGACGTCAGACGTTGCGCCCATAGCGTGTGACATCATCACATCCGGTTGCTAAGAGATGGATAACTAATGGATATTATCAGTTTAACAAGCCATAACAGAAGCTAGATAATGTATTTTCATGATCAAAATCAGTATATAACAATATAATACCTCTATCAATCTTATAAATATAAGGAAATGAGCAAGGGCAGTAGGAGGGAATCTAGCACAGCTGATGTAGCTGTGAAACCATAAAATAAAAAAAAATATTTACAATAAATATAGAGAATAAACATGAAAGCAACCTCACCAGTTATGAGGATATACAGCATGCCACATAATATGGACAAATATATATATGAAGGGAGACTTCTAGTCAAGACAAGAGCAGATAATATAGTACATACCCAGATCCAGGATGCATCTCTTGGCGGGCACCAGACGGAAGCACCTACAGGAAGCTGTGCCACTCAAGCTTCTCACTGAGACAATGAGGGGACACTGTGTCCAGTTGGTGCATCCTGTGGGCTTCCTTCTGTATCCATAGCTTGTATCTATTACCTCCTCTAGTCATAGGGGTCACGCTTTCCATCACTTGATACCGTAACTGAGAAGCGTTATGTCTTTTTTTTTTCTCTCTATAGTGCCGTGCGACTGGTGCATCTGAATTTGGATTGTGGTTTTGTGTTGGGAAACCTGGTCTTTCAGAGAATATATCGTTTTACCCCTAAGCCGCACGTCAACTTTAGAAAGTATACCACGTGGTCAGTCTGGCATGTAAAAAAAAAAAGCCTTTCAACTTAATCTGTTGGCCAGTTCTGGGATGGGTGCAAAATTTACCCTTGATGGTCCCGCTGCATTGATATGTTCCATCTACGGGTTTTGAAAGGAATGTCTGCCTGGTATTAGTCTGGTTGTCAGCCCTGATCAGTGGTGCGCACACACAATCCATGGGGCCCTGGTGCAAAACTGATCCATCCCTCCCCCTGACAGACACGCGCACACAGACATATACACACACACGTAGACACATACCTTTTATCTGCAGGAGGGTGACTTTCCCTGGGTTCCAGTGGTGGATCAGGCTTGTGGGAGTCAGAGTTCCCACTCTGACTCCCTCTCCTTCCTCCCACGCGGCTCTCTGATAGCTGGGAGAAGTGACCGGGGCAGTCACTTCCTCCCAGCAATGATCTCATCACAGGGTCCCCAGTCACGCTTGTAACGGTCACCCAGGTAGTGAGAGGGGTGTATGCCGTTAAAGACGTCCTTTTCCCGGCAAGAGGCTGTGCTGCAGAGTATTCCCGATATCCCATCAGCTGGATCAGTGTAGAGAGGGAGGCAGAGCTCTTATAAGAGCTAGTGATTTAGCTGGATGCAGGTACCCTTCAATAATGAGACGAGGCTACATATTGAGGGTTAAGCAGAACTGTTTTAATGGGCACACAAGCATTTCTTTTATACAAATTTTCCTACGAGGTTACCACCCATGTGGACCTTGTTGGACACCAAAGACACAAACTTGACAACCAATCATTTACAGTTACACAGTTAAACACTCATTCATTCATTACTGTACATTCCTCCCCTCTGCTTGGGAGATAATTGAGTTAATTGCTGTATCAACTCAATTATCTCCAAGCGAAAAATATACTTTTTACCCAATTTTCATAACACCAGAACTACCCATTCAATTTCAATAAAAATAGTTACATTTTCTGAACAAGCATAACTAGGGGACAGACATACTCAAAAATCATACAAATCCGTTCAGGGGTTCGGGAGATAGCTGAAAGTCCCATCCATGCCGCACACGAGGCTCCTACCCAAAATAGTTCCATACATTCAGCTTGTGCGGCCGGTCCCTTTTCGTATGTTAAAAATACAGAACATTTATTCTTTTTATTGTTCGTGAGTTTGCTGGCTGTGTGCCGCCCCGTTCGTGCAATACTTTTACCGAACGCTGCCTCGTTCGTATAATTCTGGGCGAAGTTAAGTGGAAGTCTCAGCAGTGTTTGTGAGTTTGAGTGTCGGAAAGTAGTTCCAGACATTCCACGACCAAACACTGCTGGACGCATTTGACAAAACAAGATGGCCGGCGTACATACGAATGGATGGCCACCCAGTGAACGCGCCTGGGCTGGGTGGTCTCTCGTTCGGCAGTTTGTTCGTTCATACCCCCATATTCCACTCAGGAGACCTTGGTCGCTATCCTGGCCAGCCTCCAAATGATCAATAACAGGCTGATGAAAGTGGAATCAGTAATAGCCACACCAGATGTCTCGTTAGGCCAGGCAGGCCTTCCCCTGGCGGTCTTGGTCACTCCATACGTCTCACCAGCCCATTCTGTTCCAGATTCCATTAAGTAGGAAATTTTCGAAGGAAAGGACGTTAATTTAATGTCACTACTCCTAACCTCCCAAGTAATACTGGAGAACAAAGGTTAGATACACAATGACATTTCAGTAGTCCTGAAAGAGAGAGATCCACGACTTAACACAAATCTTTCAATTCCTCAATTTGTCATTGCCTTTGGCATTTATCGGGACGTTATCTGCACGGTGTACCCACATAGGAGGGAAGAGCTTGATTCATACTTACACAATGTGGTTGACTTAGGTATCAGGTACGGAGGGTCCTCATTTTATGATTTTTATAAATCAGTTTCGGCCAACACAGCTTCCCAGCACAGTTCAACATAAGAATCGACTGGTGCCAGATGGACACACATCTGTTTTTCCGTCATTTCGCTGGTTCGAGGCCCCGTCCTGTACTTCTTGTAGTTCCTCTTCTCAATTCCCCGACTCGTGCACTTGTGAGACAGACACTTTCACTTTTCACCACTCCCTCATCCCACACACTAGACAGGGAGGCGTGCAGAGAGACAAGCTGGGCAGACCCATTTCATTTCTGGGCTTGGCTCGGGTGTGCAATGACTTTAATGCGGGGCTATGTAATTTCACTGCATGCAGGGCACTGCACATCTGCTCCAGAGCCCACACCAAGTCCACATGTCCAGCACGACTGTCACCTAAGAAATGCCTAACTGAGGTTAACATTGACATCCTGGAATACTATCTGCATTCACACACGGCTAGGCATCTGGTAGATTTTCTGGTGACGTGTTTCTCACAGGGGTTTCACATGGGCATTATCGCCATCCCCACAAGTACACTTGAATGCCCTAACCTTTTATCCGCATCCTCTGACCCACTTACAGTGGACCACCTTCAGTCTACAGAAATCACAGCTAGTTTCATGATCGGCCCTTTCTTGTCTTCACCTTTCTCATTTTGGCGTACCAATCCCATCGGGGTAGCCACTCACAAATACTCCAACAAAAAACGTTTGATTATAGACCTCTCTGCACCACACTCTTCCTCCATTACCAGTATCAACTCACTCATTACCGCCGAGGATTTCTCACTACACTACGCTAAAATTGACGATGCCATGCAAGCCATCATATCAGCAGGTAGTAAGGCTTGGTTGAGCAAGACAGATATATCCAGTGTCTTTAAACTACTACCTATTCACCCTTCACTATGGCACTTGCACAGAGCCACCCGGCTCACTTTTGGCTCTAGGAGGCAGCCCTAAGTTATTCAACATCTTTGCAGAAACCCTCTGCTGGCTGCTCCTAAATATAATCAGGTGTCCATCAGTCATCCACTATCTAGATTACTTTTTGTTGATTGAACCAGGCTCACAAACACCTAACAGTATACACACCACCACAGCCCTTTTTATGACACTCGGGGTCCCCCTGTCCCGCTACCAGGCTCATTTTCTTGGGCATAGTATTGGACACCACTACCTTCCAAGCCAGTCTACCACCAGACAAATTGTCCCACATTAGGAATAAGATTGTTCTGTTCCTGCGGAGTGTTGCGTGCACTAGGAAGGGTCTCCAGTCCTTATTGGGGTCCTTCAACTTTGGAATGCGTATCATTCCGCAGGGTAGGTCTTTTGTCTCCAGGCTTCTCAACTTGCTCCACGGTGTGCCCGACTCCTGCTCAATCATTCTGAACGATCTCTTTGTTCATTCCCCCACTTTCAGAGCACTTACCTTCAATTCACACAGACGCAGCAGCACACACAGGGTTTGCAGCCATTTGCGGCAACCACTGGTTTAGGGACGACTGGCCCACCAAGATGGATGCATTGCCGGCCTTTAGAGAGACTTGTACTTTGTTTGAGATCTAACCCATCGAAGCGGCCGCCCACACATGGGGTCATCTTTGGAACGGCAAGGCAGTTAGATGCTACTCTGACACAGGCAGTTAGATGCTACTTCGGCACACCTCAACCAACTTTGCTTCTCATTCTACTTTCCTTTATGTATTAGAAATTCTGAGCACAAGTTGGAATGCCATTTGGCCTGAATTTGTGGGAGGAGTTATGACCCCTATTTAAACTCTTTCTTCCTACTAACCTTTGTCGTGCAAGCTGTTTGTCCCCACCCACCTACACCCATCTATATTTACAATTCACCTTTGTGGGCCCTCTTTTATTACAGGCCTACTCGTACATTGGTTTCGGCACACCTCAACCAACTTTGCTTCTCATTCTACTTTCCTTTACGTATTAGAAATTCCGAGCACAAATATATATATATATATACATGTATATATATATTTGTGTTAGGGGCACATAGCCGTATAAGGAATAAGGACTAAGTATAAGCATAGGATAGTATAAAAGTCGGTTGTGTTGTGCCGGAACCGACAATGCGGTTAAATAAAGAGGGCCCACCAAGGAGTAAAGAAAAGGAAATGAGAGGGAAAAAAGGAAGAAAAAGTGTTGAGTATGGGGAGTGGCCGGAGGGTTATTCAAAACGCTGACCTCGGACGGTATGGAGTAAGGTCTCCCTTAAGTAGGTAAGTAAAATAATAAGCCCCTCCCACAATTACATGCCAAACGGCCTTAATACTTGTGTTAGGGGCACATAGCCGTATAAGGAGTAAGGACTAAGTATAAGCATAGGATAGCATTGTGATGTGGTGTGCCGGAACCGACGATGCGGTAGGCCTGTAAATAAAGAGGGCAAAAAGTGATCAAAGATTTAATACAGTCAACAAAACATACAAATTATCCGGACATTTCCTTAAATGCATTGCGTATCTCTTGGACTGGTTTGGGTATGTACCGTGTATAGGCAGAAGATTTCCACCGCCCCAGTGTTTTGATAATGTGCACTGGTATGTTTGCAATGGGGGCTGTGGAGGCCACTCCTATCCAGAAGGAGTGATCCGAATAGTTAGAAGGGTTAAGTCCTAGCTGGGCTATCAAAGACCTAACATGTTTCATGAAGGTAAAGGTAGTAAGTATGGAGCCGTGTAGGAAAAATAATGGCTGTGAAGGTTGTAAGTTGGGGTTCTGAAGGTAGGCGTCTAAAACCGCTACCGCACCATTTATTGTGGATAGAATGCTATTTCCACTGGTAAGGTATATATATATATATATATACACACACACACTTTTATTTCCTATATATGTATATATCTCAAAATACACTTATGAAATCATATGTATGCATTATATATGTTATATGTATAATTATATTATAAAATGCTTTAATTGTTTTATAATATATTATACATATATTTGTATAATATTTTTTATATTATAAACTATGCTGCCTGAACAAACTGGCAGCAATTCCGAGCCAAATTACACTTGCAGCTGTCCCTCTGTTTATGTCAAAGGCTTTCTTCATAACCTCTACACTGACAGTTTCAGTTACGGTTGTTGCCATCTGGTGGCTTTGGGATGAAATGCTTAAGTTGTGATTACTATGCTAGCATGTCATTCTGCTATTTGGTGCAGGGGTACTGGAATACAGGTCTTTTTACGTTATTGTAGGGGGGGGGGCTAGAATCAATTTACTAAATCGGTTCAAGTCTATAATATTATATCTCGGCACTAGCTGGTTTTATTAAGTTGCTATGGTAAGATATACTGTTCATGATGTCACATATGCATTTCTGCACATCTACGTTGGAATATTTGTGAATCATGGTTAATCATATGGTTACAGATTCCAGATTGCAATTAAGGCAGCATTTTGCCCTTCAGACCTCAAAAGTCCTGTTCCAGTAAGCAGGTGGGGATGTTAGGGGTTTAATTATTTAGGAATACCTTGGCCTGTATACATTCTAATACATTTACTCATGTTTGGTATAGGACTCTCCTCCCCCCTATACCTTACTCAGTGGGAGTCACAGAGTCTGTGTCAAGTTACGACTATATTTCTGACTTAAACACACACGCAAAGTGGGTTTCACGTACGTTTTGCCTATTTATCCCCACAACGTCCCTCCACCCCTGCCTCAATTTTAGGTTAACTGGCTGGATAGGGTCTTGAGGGCCACTAGTAGTAGCATTTTCTGGCTTCTTCACCTCATTGTACAGTGGTCCCACAAAGCCAACAACCATCCTCCACGCTTGAGGTAAAAATTCACCCCTCGGGCCAAATCATAGATAGCCGCCTTACACGGTTACTGTCACGTATTCATCCGCTTATAGAAATGTGGTTAATGACATTTAATGTCCACACAGGAAAAGTTGTGCCGAGCAGCAACCTAGGTTAATGCTGCTCAGCATTAACCTAAGAAGGGTTAATGCTGAGCAGCAATTATGCAAATGAAACCTGGTAACTGACTTTGGGGTCAAAGGCCGATTACAGCCTATCAGAACTAAAGGAGGGGTATTTAGGCCCAGTCCTCAGCCTGCTCAGTGCCCTGTCGTGGTTTCCCTTGTGGTTGTCCGAGAGCGCGTTCCTGTTTATAGTTTTCTACCTCGTTTTTGACTTTGGCTTTGTTTATTGACTTCTATATATTCTGGTATCCTGACCCCTGGCTTTCCTCATCGCTGTGTCCCTTTCTGTGTTCCCTGACCTCGGCTAGTATTTTTGACTATTCTTTGTACGTTAAATCCGGCCATTCTAAGGACCGGTAATACGTTACTTATTTGTCATCCGTGCTGTACAGTTCTACGTGCTGGATCAAACAGTAATCCTGACATTACGACATGGCCATAGATCCTGTAGAACTGTGTCAGCACATAGCTGCTTGCGAGAGGAAATTAGAGGAGAATGATCACTGCATGGATCAATTCACTCAGGCTTTAAGTACGCTTCTCGCTAGAACGGAGCATCTGCAGCCTGCAGCGTCTCCTCCTATAGCACCTCTACCCTGTGTACCTCACCCACTGTTAATAGGACTCCTAGCATCTCCTTATCACCATCCCTACAGTTTGATGGCAATATTCAGGAATGCAGGGGTTTTCTTAATCAGGTGGAGTACCATTTTGAGGCCTCACCAGGGTCATTCCCCACGGACAGAGCAAGAATTGGTTATCTAATGAATCAATTAAAGGGCAGATATCTCGGATTATGCTATTGAATTCCGTACCTTAGCTTCCGAGGTAGACTGGACTAACAATGGGTTAATCTTAGCATTCAAAAAGGGTCTCTCAGAGACTATACTAGATTAGATAGCCGCTAAAGAATTACCTAAGAGTCTTAACGAATTTATTACGTTTGTCATGCATATTGATAATAGATTAAGACAGTAAGAAGTCACCAGAAGCTAGACCAGACGTACGGCTATGTCCCTAGCACCTCAATTCTCTAAACCTGTACAGTCCGAACCTATGCAGTTGGGGGTCACTAGACTGTCAGAGGCCGAAAAACAGTATAGGAGAAGGGAGGGGTTATGCCTATATTGCGGTAGAAAGGGACATATGATAACTAATTGTCCAGTGCGTCCGGAAAACTTCCGCACCTAAGAACCTTAAGGGGACAGATCTTAGGTGTGATGGAGTTGTCCTCTAACAAAAACAAAAGTAGATTCCTCCTTGAGGTATCTATTTCCCTTGATAACAAGAAGTTTTCTTGCAGTGCCCTAATGGACTCAGGTGCTGCTGGAAATTTTATCGATGTCCAGTTTATTAGGGGTAATGAGATACCGGTCAGTGAGAGACCTACGCCGCTAGCTGTAGAGGCTATTGATGATAGACCACTCACACAACCGCTTATAACCCACGAAACTGTCCCTATTACGATCTCCATTGGGGCCTCCTATAGGGAGGAGATGACGTTTCAGGTTATTACTTCTCCATCATGTCCTATCATATTAGGGTTTCCGTGGCTGAGTAAGCACAATCCCTATATTGGAGATACTAGAACGGGGTAAAGAGTGTATGGGGAGATGTATAAAACCAGTACTAAAGAGATTGGATACGATTGACCTTCCCACTACCACTCCCCAAACTCCTGGAGTTCCCATACAATACCGAGAACTTCAGGAGGTGTTTAACAAGGCTCAATCCGATGTATTGCCTCCCCACAGAGCATATGACTGTGCCATTAACCTGTTTCCAGGCGCTATGCCACCTAAGGGGGCAGTTTATGCCTTATCTCCCCAGAAGAGTAAAATAATGGAGGAATACATCAAAGAATCCTTGAGCAAAGGGCACATAAGAAAGTCATCCTCACCAGCTGGTGCAGGATTCTTTTTTGTTGAGAAAAAGGGTGGTGAGTTACGCCCTTGCATAGACTACAGGGCACTTAATAAAATCACTGTAAAAAATGCATACCCTATCCCACTCATTTCCGAATTGTTCGATAGACTTCAGGGAGCTAAAGTATTTACTAAGCTTGACCTTAGGAGCGCTTACAATTTGGTTAGAATTAAAGAGAATCATGAGTGGAAGGCGGCATTTAATACCCGTAGTGGACACTATGAATATCTGGTAATGCCATTTGGGTTATGCAACGCCCCGGCCGTATTCCAAGACTTTATAAATGATGTACTCAGGGAATTCATTTACTCATTTGTCTTGGTTTATTTGGACGATATTTTGGTGTATTCCCCTGATCTTCAAACTCACCACTCCCATGTGAAACAGGTTCTGCAGACGTTGTTGAAAAATAAACTTTATTGTAAATTAGAAAAGTGCATATTTGACCAGCCTGAAGTCCACTTTTTGGGTTACAACATCTCTGCATCGGGATTTCAAATGGATCCAAAAAACTAGAGGCTGTACTACACTGGCCATTACCTTCTGGTTTAAAAGCCATTCAAAGGTTTATTGGTTTTGCCAACTATTACAGAAGATTCATCAAGGGATTTTCTTCTGTAATAGCCCCAATCACAAATATGACTCGCAAAGGGGTTAGTAGCACGGTATGGTCCAAAGAGGCTGTGAATGCTTTTGAGACACTTAAACAAAGACTTGCCTCTGCGGACATACTAAAACATCCTGACACTAGTAAACCTTTTATATTGGAGGTTGATGCATCCGAGACAGGGGTAGGGGCTGTTCTCTCTCAGAGAGAAAGCCAGGGAACACCATTGCATCCTTGTGGCTACTTTTCCAGAAAGATGTCTCCTGCTGAGCGCAACTACGATATTGGCAATAATGTTGACCATTATTCTTGCCCTCAAGGAGTGGCGACATCTTTTGGAGGGTTCCAAGGACCCCCTGTTGATCATAACCGACCACAAAGATCTGGCATATATAGGGGATGCCAAACGTTTGTCTTCCAGACAGGCTAGATGGTCACTGTTCCTTTCACGTTTTAACTTTCTCATTACTTATAGACCTGGTTCTAAAAATACCAAGGCTGATGCCTTGTCCAGGCAATTTGATAATGAGTCAGCTCCGGAACAGGTGACATCTCCTATTATTCCACCAGAGTGTATTATTGCTACTACTGTCCTCTCACTGTCTTCTCCACTGCTTGGCACCATACTGGAGGCCTAGCCTCAGGTGCTCAGTGGCAAACCGTGTGATAAACTGTTCGTTCCCCTATGTGAAAGGGTTAATATCATGAAAGTGTTCCATGACAATATAACTGCTGGACACCTGGGCAGCAATAAGTCCACTGCCGCGATCACTAGATCATTTTGGTGGGATTCACTCAGGAAAGATGTAAAGGAGTATGTGCAGGCATGTTCTTTGTGTGCAGTTTCTAAGGTGACTCATGCCACTTCCTTGTGGCCTGTTGCAGCCTCTTCCTGTTCCTGAGATTCCATGGTCCCACTTATCCATGGACTTTATTGTTGAGCTTCCTAGCTCTGCTGGGTTCACTACTATTCTCATGGTTGTAGACCGATTTTCTAAGATGGCTCACTTCATTCCTCTCAAGAAGTTGCCATCTTCGCAAGATTTGGTCCTAATTTTCATACGTGAAATTGTCCGTTTGCATGGCATCCCCCACAATATTGTGTCTGATAGGGGCTCTCAGTTTGTGTCCAGGTTCTGGAGGGCGTTCAGTAAACAATTGGGGATTGATCTCTCCTTCTCCTCCTCCTACCATCCACAGACCAATGGTACAGCTGAGAGGGCTAACCAGTCATTAGAAGTTTATTTGCGTTGTTTTATTAATAGCACACAAGACGATTGGTCCGAACTACTCCCGTGGGCCGAGTTCGCTAGAAACAATGCTGTTCATGACTCCTCTGGGCACAGTCCATTTTTTGTCAATAATGGTAAGCATCCTACGGTTCTCCCTGCAGTATTTTCTGATACTGCCATTCCTGCTCTGGATGAGCGTTTTGCCTCCATTAGGGATACCTGGGTTAAGGTTCAAACTGCTCTAGGGGCTGCTGCTGAACGCTTCAAACATTTTGCTGATAAGCGTAGGAGTGCCAACCCGGTGTACCAAGTGGGGGACCGGGTTTGGTTGTCATCTCGCAACATCAAGCTTAAGGTCCCTAGCATGAAGTTTGCCCCCAGATTCCTTGGTCCCTATAGAGTGCTTCGTAGGATCAATCCAGTCTCTGGCTCTTTCTGCATCTTTAGGGATTCCCAACACTTTTCATGTGTCTTTACTCAAACCTCTTGTCTGCAATAGATATACTGTTCCTTGTGTTCCTCCCCCTCCGGTGGTGGTGGGTGGTCAGGAAGAGTATGAGGTATCTTCTATCGTGGATTCTAGGTTTTCTCGGGGCACTTTACAGTACTTGGTTGTTTGGAAAGGTTACGGTCCTGCTGATCGTTCTTGGGTTTCGGCTCCTGACCTGCATGCGGGCCGTAAGATCCGCGCTTTTCACGCTAAATTTCCTCTCAAGCCTGGTCCTGTCCGCCCGGTGGGCGTTCTTCAGGTGGGGGGTAATGTCACGTATTCATCCGCTTATAGAAATGTGGTTAATGACATTTACTGTCCACACAGGAAAAGTTGTGCCGAGCAGCAACCTAATCCACAGAAGGGTTAATGCTGAGCAGCAATTATGCAAATGAAACCTGGTAACTGACTTTGGGGTCAAAGGCCGGTTACAGCCTATCAGAACTAAAGGATGGGTATTTAGGCCCAGTTCTCAGCCTATATCACAAATGCAACAAATGGCACAGTAGGTGTCTGTAATAGCTCAAACACCCGTGTGGTATCCCCTATACCAACACAAAAAAGTACATACAGTACAAACACAATGGATGGAGCAATATTAGTTCTCTACTCTTCTCCAATATATTGCTGTGGAGATAGAGAGATATACAAAATAGTGTAGATCGTTTACAATATATATTAAAGTGCAATAGGTGCAAGCAAACACTCACAAAATCAGAGCCAAGGGACCTGGCTCTGGTATAGATGGCTTCTGGATCTATTGTGGGGTGATCCTTAACCCTTCTGTAGCTGGTATGGTCTCCAATAAGTAGAAGTGGATCCAGAGGATGGGGTAACAAAGAACTACTTTATTATAAAAAATATATACATAAACTATTAATTAAAATATAGAAGAATAAAATGTAAGTGGTAAATAGTAAGCCAATACGCGTTTCGCCAATTGTGGCTTCCTCAGTCAGCTTTCAATGATGTGTCCAGTTGATGTCTTTATATAAGTCCTTATTCTCTTGTATTTCGCGGTAAAAATCTGCTGTGGAATGCATACATGCGTTCCATGTCTCCACTTGCATCCATTTCCTCCCTTCCGGCCACGCCGATATTGTAACGTCACTTCCGGATTCTGGCGTCACTTCCGGGTTTTCCTCCGAGTGGAACGCACGGTGCGTTCCACTCCTTCTGATACTTTCAGTTCACATTGTGAGGCACCTCAGTGGGACGCAAATATGCGTTTCAATCTCCCTCCACATTATAATGTTTCACACATCTTCTATTCATATGGTAGGGCACTTCGGTGGAACGCAAATATGCGTTCCAACCTCTTCCTCTTCTCCCTCCACACTATAAACTCTCATATACATAGGGACAAGGGTATAATGAATTACATAAAAGCATAATAAATTCATAAATTAATTCATCCTCTTAACATATTAATTAAACTAAAATACAACCATATAATGAAACACCCAGTTCTTAAAGTGACTGTGACGAAGTGCCCTTCACCACTTGGTCCTGGAGAGGCCTACTTGCCAGCCTCCTCCCCTGTGACTATGACTCTTTCATGTATCTGGCTTTAAAGCCCCTAGTATACCTTCAGACAGACTATTTATGTAGGCTGCTTTATTTATCTTATGTTTTAGTCACCCTGTACACATTATAGGTGCAGGGTGTGTGTAATGTAATTGTTTATAGTGTGTGTGTGTACTGTGTAATGTATTGCCTGCTCTCTTGTATTGCTGAGGTTTGCTACCAACTAGGTGGGTTTGGCTATGGAGCTTGTCTAGTGCCCTCTGTTGGTAGCAACAGCAATATGCACTACCTGAATTGCAAGACTGGTTCATTTGCATATTTGGGTAGATTTGCATATTGCTAATCCTGCAGGCAGGTGAGATATTTACTGTTAAATATTGTCTCCCCCCACCCCTTTAAAAATGTGCCATTGTGTTGTGATAAGTCACTGTGTGTTTCTTGATATGGTTTGACTGTTTGTGATTTTATTGAGGTTTCACAACAATGTTATTGTGGTGACTGTATTGGCTGGTCCCAAGGGAATAAAGGTTTTGACAGTTCTTCTTGATCCCTCTAAACGTAGCCTTGTCTCGTTATTGGAGGGAGCTGTTATAATCACACTGGGGATTGCTATGCTCTGCATGCTCCCCTGAGCTTGAATCACTTAGCTCTTTTAAGAGCTTGTTCCTGACACGCTCTCCTTGGAGGAGGGGTCTTCACCACACAGTCCTGGATGCTGGAGGTTCATACAGGGTGGAAGGAAGAGTTCTTTCCCACACAGTCCTGGAGGACAGAAGCTGATCCAGGGTGGAAGGAAGACGGTGAGACTCCAGTCAAGATACGGCGGTTGCGGAGTCTGCGGTGGTTGTGGTGTCTGCTGCAGTGCTTGGATTCCTCAGGAAGCGCTAGGAGCATCCGTCAACGGAGGGTACTCAGTCGGAGTACAGGGAGCTCCGTTACAGTGACCATGCTCATTTCATAAATATAGTGCATATACAAAACAATAGATTTAAAAAGAGTGAGTTTAAAAAGACAGTAAATGTTTCATAAAGTGACCATGCAAATGTTGCCATAGTGAATGTACAGGTGATAAAATAAATATAATAATTGGATATCTTATTAATATTCTATATAGAGCATACTTATGATTTCATTATGTAAAAAAGTGGAAAGTTATGTCCTTATTCTTTCCTCCTTTCATATTATAATATCCTAATATATATTAAAACTATCAATCAATTTATAAAAAATGACATAACTCAAAATCTTGGTTGAGTCCATATGGAATTAATGTTTTTAAATTGTAGATGCACTTCATCTCCTCCTCTCCTCTCTAATGTGTTCTTCAATCCTTATGTGTACATTTCTAATTGTTCTTCCTACATATATGAGGTCACAAGGACATTTTAAAATATAAATAACATTTTTGGAAAAACATGTTAACTGATTCCTTATCGTAAATGTTTTATCTTTTTGATACTGAAAGGAGGTAATGTGTCTTTTCTTTTGGTTAGTTTCCCTGCAAGCTAAGCAGGAACCGCATCCATAGAAACCTTTATTTTTATTTAAAAAATGTTCATTATGTTTAGTAGTGAAACTACTTTTCACAACTATTTGCTTTAGATTTTTACACCCTCTATATACTACCATAGGTTTGGAAGGTAAAATCTGTTTTAAAATGGGATCTTCTTGTAATATAGACCAATATTTATGGATAATTCTTCTTATCTTTGTGTTATTTCCACTGTGATTGCATATAAAGGGAATTTTTGGTTGACCATTATTTTTCAAGTCTCTTTTCTTTTTTGTTGTTTTCCCTTTATATCTAATAAGATCCTTTCTCTTTATTAATTTAACTTCTTCCATACAAGTTGTTAACTCTATTGGATTATATCCTTTTTCTACAAATTGTTCTCTAATTTTTTCGGCCTGTGCTATATAATCATTATCTTGGGTGCAATTACGTCTTATTCTTAAAAATTGGCTTTTAGGAGCATTGTCTAACCAGGGAGTGTGATGACATCTGTTCTTGTCAATATTGCTATTTGCATCTACTTCTTTAAAATGGTTATTTGTATGTAATTGGGATTCTACTAAAAAAATGTCTAAGTCTAAAAAATTAATTTGATTATTACTGTACGTGTACGTTAAGATAATTCCCCACTCATTGTGATTCAAATCTTCTAAAAACTTAATGAGTTGTGTTTCACTATCTTTCCATATGAAAAAAATATCATCGATATAACGGCGATAGGACACTAAGTTCGCAGATTGTGCATTATGGGTAACTATTGTTTCTTCCCAATATGCCATGAACAAGTTTGCATAGCTTGGAGCGAACTTAGTGCCCATCGCCGTACCTGTAATTTGTAAAAAAAAAAAGAATCTTTAAACCAAAAGTAATTATTTGATACAATTAATAAAATACCTTCTAATATAAAATCTATTTGTATCTCTTTAAAATCCGATTTCTTTAAAAAATGTTTTATTGCCTTAATTCCCAAATGGTGAGGTATAGTGCTGTATAATGAACTAACATCGCAAGTTACTAATAGATAGTTTTCTTGCCATTCAATTTCGTCAAGGGTCTGCAACATGTGGATAGTGTCTTTTAGATAAGATGGACTCTTAACCACAATTGGTTGTAACAATCTATCTATATATTCCGAGACTCTTGAAGAAATAGAGTCTATTCCTGAGATAATTGGTCTACCTGGGGGGTTATCTTTATTTTTGTGAACTTTGGGTAGATAATAAAAAACTGATGTTTTTGGATATGTAATAGATAAATATTTTGTTTCTTCCAATGTTAGAATTCCCAGGGTGAAACCTTTTGTAATATAACTTTTAAATTTTTCTTGTATACCCTGACTTGGATTTGTGTTGATTTTCTTGTATGTATTTGTGTCTAGTAGAATTCTTTCCGCTTCTTTCACATAATCGTTTGTATTTAGTATCACCACTCCCCCCCCCCCTTTATCTGCAGGTTTGATACCAACATTCTAATCCTTTCTTAAATTATCAATGGTTTTAAATTCTTGTATGGTCATATTCTTTTGGAATTTATTTAATTTTTTAATTTTCTGCACTTCTCTTATTACCATCTTTTCAAATGTTTTCATTTCGTCTGAGATTAAAAACCTCAGAAAAAATTGGGATTTAGGTTTCAACTCTGTTTGTACATATTAAGATTCTTTATCATCATTATTATTAGATTGTTTATTATGGAAAAAAAAATGTAGGGATAATTGTCTAATTAATTTTTGAATATCAATGAAAAAATTGAATTCATTAAAATCTGAGGATGGGGCAAATTTTAAGCCTTTTTTTAGGATATTAATTTGTTCCTCTTTTAGTGGGGACCCTGTTAGATTAAAAATTCCTTCTATATTTAATTTCAGTCCCTCTTTTCTCTGCCTCGTGTCGTTTCCTCTTTTTCTTTTTCTATTTCTCCTTCCTCTGATAATCTTAGTCGTTTCCCTGGTGTCTCCCCTATCTGTTGAGATCGTCTGCGATGGTGTTGGAAGGGATCCTGCCGAAAAAAAGAGTCCTGATCCTGATTTTGATTTCCTAGACTCTTAAATCTATTCGTTAAAGGTATCTCATTGGGATTATTAAGATGTACATTTCTTTTTTCTACTCTGGATGGTTGTTTATATTCCCTATATTGATGGTCACTTCTCGGATATTTCACTGCCTCACTATATGTCCTATTGTAGCTTAGATTGGTTCTGTTAGATCTCTCTTTCGTAATTCTAGGTTTATATGTTTCTGTTGGTCTTTCATGATTTCTATTTCCCATAGGTTTTTGTCGTTCATGAAAATTATTTGTTTGTCTGCTTTCCCTATTATCAAATTGATTGTATCCTTTGGGTCCCATTTGTTCTATTGTAATGTCTTACGTTTCCAGATTTATAATCGTTTACATCTCTTAGGTATTTCTTTTTTTAAATTTCTATGACATCTTTTTCTGATTTCTGTAATTGTTGTATTAAACATTTCTGGACTGGTAGTGTTACTTAACTTGATTATATAGCACAGGCCGAAAAAATTAGAGAACAATTTGTAGAAAAAGGATATAATCCAATAGAGTTAACAACTTGTATGGAAGAAGTTAAATTAATAAAGAGAAAGGATCTTATTAGATATTGTTACGACACGTACCGTCGGGTAGATGAAGCCGCCGTTTAGGCAATAATCCCCTTTCTCCAGAAATGCAGTTTAAATCCAGCCGATCGCTAAACTCCCGAACGAAGTCCACGAACACGGCAACTCCCGATCAGCCAAACAGTCGAACGCCTTCCACAGCTAGAAATAACGAAAGCGCTGTCCCAGTAATAATTCCCCCACAAACGAGACCAAGCTCCGTCTTGAGGGTCAAATGAAGATCTGTTTAATGGGGGCTACCTGCCCGGTATTTATGCAGGTCTCCACAAGGTGGACACTCCCCGAGGGGACCTTGTGGAAGACTGTAACACATATTGGACAGTAGCCAATCGCAGTGGCTTCAATAATAGCCCTTCCCATCTTGCCCACAATTCCGTCTTCTTTACCTTGGAGATAATTGGGGAAGAAACCTAATTATCTCCCAAGGTAGAGACCATCGCCATCTTAAATCACAGTAACAAAAAGACATTAAAATACATAACTACAGAAATACCGAATGCATATGGTTCGTGTAATGTATCCCCAGACAGCCTGGATCTGAGGGCATGTTTTCACCGAATAGCGCTCAGATCCGATGTATCCAGTCGAATCGCCATGGAGTCAAAGTCCTGCACCAGTCCTTCGGTATACGAATGACTCCATGGGATGGCTGTCGGGGTGAAAGTCCATATGAATGAATAAAACTCCCGAACGACCGACGTTCGCATGCCTTGTCGAAAAGGAAGGTAGGCAGCAGCTTTTCAGCGGTGTTCGGTAGTTTAAGTGTCCGTTTTTAGTTCCATACAGTTTGTACCGAACACCGCTCTGTGTTCGTATGTCCCAAAATGGCCGCTGCCTCGTGGTCGACATGCGAACGACGACCACCCGTACGAATGGAATGGAGAGGTGTCTGCGGTTAACCACAACGTTCTAATTGGGGCCAGAAGGTTAACCAGCAGCACACTCCTCTCCTGGGTGGTCGTTCGTTCGGTAGTTTCAATCGGTATTTTGCAACTACACGAACGGGGTTATAGGAACAGGCAATTCCGCGAACAAAAGGGAAACAGACGAACCAACAATGCAGATGAATCTGTCACAGATATAAAGGGAAAACAACAAAAAAGAAAAGAGACTTGAAAAATAATGGTCAACCAAAAATTCCCTTTATATTCAATCACAGTGGAAATAACACAAAGATAAGAAGAATTATCCATAAATATTGGTCTATATTACAAGAAGATCCCATTTTAAAACAGATTTTACCTTCCAAACCTATGGTAGTATATAGAGGGTGTAAAAATCTAAAGCAAATAGTTGTGAAAAGTAGTTTCACTACTAAACATAATGAACATTTTTTAAATAAAAATAAAGGTTTCTATGGATGCGGTTCCTGCTTAGCTTGCAGGGAAACTAACCAAATGAAAAGACACATTACCTCCTTTCAGTATCAAAAAGATAAAACATTTACGATAAGGAATCAGTTAACATGTTTTTCCAAAAATGTTATTTATATTTTAAAATGTCCTTGTGACCTCATATATGTAGGAAAAACAATTAGAAATGTACACATAAGGATTGAAGAACACATTAGAAATATAAAAAAAGGATTGGAGACGCATAGTGTTTCCAATCATTTTAATTTATACCACAACAAAGATCCAAAAAATATGTCCTTTTGTGCAATAAAAGCAATACATAGAGATTGGAGGGGGGGTGATTTTAATAAAAAGATTGGAGAGGAGGAGATGAAGTGCATCTACAATTTAAAAACATTAATTCCATATGGACTCAACCAAGATTTTGAGTTATGTCATTTTTTATAAATTGATTGATAGTTTTAATATATATTAGGATATTATAATATGAAAGGAGGAAAGAATAAGGACATAACTTTCCACTTTTTTACATAATGAAATCATAAGTATGCTCTATATAGAATATTAATAAGATATCCAATTATTATATTTATTTTATCACCTGTACATTCACTATGGCAACATTTGCATGGTCACTTTATGAAACATTTACTGTCTTTTTAAACTCACTCTTTTTAAATCTATTGTTTTGTATATGCACTATATTTATGAAATGAGCATGGTCACTTTAAGAACTGGGTGTTTCATTATATGGTTGTATTTTAGTTTAATTAATATGTTAAGAGGATGAATTAATTTATGAATTTATTATGCTTTTATGTAATTCATTATACCCTTGTTCCTATGTATATGAGAGTTTATAGTGTGGAGGGAGAAGAGGAAGAGGTTGGAACGCATATTTGCGTTCCACCGAAGTGCCCTACCATATGAATAGAAGATGTGTGAAACATTATAATGTGGATGGAGATTGAAACGCATATTTGCGTCCCACTGAGGTGCCTCACAATGTGAACTGAAAGTATCAGAAGGAGTGGAACGCACCGTGCGTTCCACTCGGAGGAAAACCCGGAAGTGACGCCAGAATCCGGAAGTGACGTTACAATATCGGCGTGGCCAGAAGGGAGGAAATGGATGCAAGTGGAGACATGGAACGCATGTATGCGTTCCACAGCAGATTTTTACCGTGAAATACAAGAGAATAGGGACTTATATAAAGACATCAACTGGACACATCATTGAAAGCTGACTGAGGAAGCCACAATTGGCGAAACGCGTATTGGCTTACTATTTACCACTTATATTTTATTCTTCTATATTTTAATTAATAGTTTATGTATATATTTTTTTATAATAAAGTAGTTCTTTGTTACCCCATCCTCTGGATCCTCTTCTACTTATTGGAGACCATACCAGCTACAGAAGGGTTAAGGATCACCCCACAATAGATCGAGAAGCCATCTATACCATCTATACCCTGGGCTCTGATTTTGTGAGTGTTTCCTTGCACCTATTGCACTTTAATATATATTGTAAACGATCTACACTATTTTGTATATCTCTCTATCTCCACACCAGTTCTCAGCCTGCTCAGTGCCCTGTCGTGGTTTCCCTTGTGGTTGTCCAAGAGCGCGTTCCTGTTTATAGTTTCCTACCTGGTTTTTGACTTTGGCTTTGTTTATTGACTTCTCTATATTCTGGTATCCTGACCCCTGGCTTTCTTCTTCGCTGTGTCCCTTTCTGTGTTCCCTGACCTCGGCTAGTATTTTTGACTATTCTTTGTACGTTAAATCCGGCCATTCTAAGGACCTGTAATACATTACTTATTTGTCATCCGTGCTGTACAGTTCTACGTGCTGGATCAAACAGTAATCCTGACAGTTACATAGAGAGGACTTCCTTTGTCAGGCCCGTACTGTCTTCTGCTTAAAACAATCACTGAATGACCATCACTCTGTCACAAGTTCGGTGGCCACGAGTCCCCTCACGCCAATGAATAGATAGAGCCTCTCAAGCCACGTGACTCACCTGTCACCAACCTAGTGAATTGTTTCACCACTTGTCACTAGTTAGCCAGCCAGGAAACCGACCAGTTTTCTCATATTTATTGTTATTTCTTCAAGTATGTCTCAGATCCCTGAAGAAGCGGACAATTTTTATCTCCCCAGTACTCCCGTCAGATCCATATCGCCTACTCGTAAAGGCGATAACTGTAGCCCGGCATCAGGTCATGGACCGTCCCCCGCATCACAGCGGAGCTTCACAGATGCAATATCCCTTTCCCAGCTATGGCCAGGAAAGCGGAACTATTTAGGCTCATGCATACAAATACTGACAATGCAGGGGTAAGAGAAAGAACGAGTGGTCCAGGCAACTCAGATCTCCACGCCATGATGGCCTCACACGTAGCATCCATGGGAAAGATTGACAGGCTGAATCCTTAGCTGCTGTCCTCCACAGCTGTAAGCTGGTAAAAACATTCCCTCAGGATCAGGAACCCATGTTGTCAACCCGGCCCATATGGTACCTGCGAATGTTAAAAAGATATCCTGGAAGGCAAAGACGTTAATCTCGTCTCACTACTGATTGCCTCTCAGGATATAGTGGAGAATCACACGTACCCATATGGGGATATATCCATTGTGTTGAAGGCTATGGACCCTACACTGAGCAAGAAGTTGTATATCCCGGATTTTATTATTGCCTTCGGGATTTATAGGGATGTCATATGCTCTGTACACCCTCATAGGAGAGAGGAGCTGGACTTCTACTTGCTTAAAAGAAAAAAAGGTAATAGGCGCTCACTATAGAAATTAGTGGATAAGCAGCAGTATACAGAACAAGGATTCCAAAAACCTTGTGGAATAGATAGAACAAAAGAGAAACGTAAACCGCGCTGTTATAAATATGAATAATACATACATATAATTGTAGATAATTCCAATGAGTCAGAAACCTTGGAATAAATTAAAATAGAAAAAATAATAGTGCAATACAGTAAGAATTAATAACATGAAGTAGTGATTATAACTTATAACTCAATCCACTCACATTTGTATGAGCTATAACAGAGCTCAGCTGTGATGCGCTTGGACGGTACAATCCCCGTCTCAGGATATGTTGTTTTGGTTGGTCCAAATATTTCAAAGTGCAGTATGCGTGGTAAAGAGAAATAGCAGCCAATAATGAAGTAAGTACTACTAATGGAGTTAATAACAAATAGTAATGTACTTACAATTTTTTGAGCATATAACTTGCTCTAGTATAGACAGCTTAGGTGGTATAATCCCCACCAAGGATATACAGGATCCAGGAAGTAAAAGAATGAATCTAAAAGTATCTAATAAAAAGTATACTTTAATATAAAACAAAACATGGTATAAAATTAAAAAGGAGAGTCCCACTTTACGCGTTTCACCCGGTAGGCTTCTTCAGAAGTGTGGTGTAACCTCCTCTGGGTCCCGTTTATATGTGGTTCTGAATTCTCAAATTGCTTCCTGGTGTGCTTCTTCCAATTTCCTGGTTCCCGTGGGACGCACGCGTCATCCCGGAAGTGACACGATGTACGAGTCATACCGGAAATGACGCGGCGTCGTATATTCGCTGTTATGTTATTATTGTGCCGCCCATGGAACGCACGCACCGCTCAGAAATAGCGTGCATTGCGTTCCGGGCGCTTATATCAGGTGGTCAAGCCCCTAAAAATGAGCATGCTCTATTAACAAAAACGGCATTGCGGCCATATTTATTGTGGGCATAAAAGAAAAGAGAAAGATGAATAAGAACATTTATAATGTAATAATATTGTTTATAAATAAATAGTTAGCAATATTTTTGGTTTATATAAAGAAATTACATTCATAAAAATAACAAGGATAACAAAAAAGGGGATCAAATGAGATTAAGTAATAGTGAGTATTTATACATAAGCCCATAATATGTGATAGTATTGTATTATGGTAAAAAACATAATAAGGTACCCAAAACACAAACTTTCTCTTATTGTACATATGATCAAAAATGGTTTAAAAATACATTTAAAAATATTAACATTAATATAATATTCACATAATCCCATGAAAGAATATATGTATATATTTAAACAGAAGAGGAGTGTTTATAAAAGATTAGTAAAAGTGTTGTCAATAAAAAATAAAGCATCTGGAATTATAAAAAATTCCAGACAATTTTTGTAAAAAGACTTATATATTAAAAAATCTATAAAAAATCTATACAAAATTATGTATATATTAAAATATAAAGATTATAGAAATTTTTATTAAAAATTGTATAAATCAGAATCCATGTTAAGCCCGTATTATGCACTATTATTTTTTCTATTTCATTTTATTGCGAGGTTTCTACTTGCATAAGCTGGTGGATTTAGGTAATACATTTGGTGGTATGTCATTTTATGATTTCCTCCGGTCTTTTTCAGTGAAGACGTCTGCCATTCTGGCTCAGTTCAACATCAAAATTAATTGGAGCCAGATGGACACTGAGTTGTTTTGCAGGCACTTCTGTGGTCTGAGGACACCAGCTTGTGCAATCTTTGCATCCACTTCACATGCCACGGATTACTGTCCGATAATACCCGATAACTCTCCTTCTGTGGCTTTCCCAGGAGTAAGAACCAGGTCCGACAAACCAGTAATTGATAAACTGGGTCGTGCCATAGTGTATTTAGGAATATCACAGGATGTATGCTCTCCCTGCTTTAGGGCACATGCAAAGTCTATGTGCCCAATTTAAATGCATTCTAAACCTTATCTGACCTCGGTGAATGTTGACTCTCTGGTGGGCTTCTAAGCTTCTCACCTTTCAACACTTGATTAAGAAACAGGGTTTTCATAACGGTCTTATTCACATTACAACTTCTTGTATAAATTTGTCTCTGGATTGGTGCATTCAACTCCCCCCACCCCCTGTAGACATCATGCCTTATCTCTACTAAATGTTTACATAAGTCACATTCCTTAGCTCAGACCTGAAGGAATAGAATTAGAGAAGTAGAAGTGTGTCTGTCTTAGCCTTGTAATACAGAATGGAGTCACCTCTGTTCTGATGGTGACTTACAGTACACACTTTTAATTTCTATCTTAACAAAAAATGTCTGTCAGTATAAATATACTGACAGAGTCAATACTAGCCCCTGTAGGCCTACCTGTTGGATTCATCAGTGATTTATGTATCTTTGGTAATACATATAAATCAGGTACAATGGGGGAAGAGACTAAGATACTTTGTCTATAATCCTATTCTCTAATGCGTCTCTCGGGATTATATCAATTTTATTTTTCAGCCCCAATGTGGGGTCTGTATGTACTTTCCTGTACGTCTTTATCATTAAGTTGCCTCTCTATCTCCTTCACATAGTTAACCCTATCCATTACCACAATCTCTCCACACTTATCTGCTGGTTTACAACTAAATCATGATCTTCTTGAAGGGATTTAATGGCTTTCCTTTGTTTTTTAGATACATGTTGGGGTTGTCTATATTATTTTAGGGTGGCTCTGTTAAAAAAGAGTATCTATGTCTTTTTTGACCAGTTTAACACTTGTCTCATGATCTATCCATGGTGGATTAAAGTTACTCTTGTTTTTTAGTTTTGTGTCGCCTAATTTTAACAGTGTGTTATCAGGTTCCATCACATTAGTAGAAAAGATAGACTTATTGAAGAAAACCTTCAATCTCAGATTACGAAATAATCTACAAATATCAATGTCTATATCAAGGGGTTTGGGAGTATAAACTGGACAAAATGTCAAACTTTTTTCCAAGATAGAGTGTTCTTCTTTTGACAGTTTCCTTGATGATAAATTGATCACTTTATTTTCTTCCTCTTCTGTGGAGCCTTGTTCTTCCACATTGCTGGTAGCGTTTTACCTCTTGTAGAATTCTTGGATTCTTCTGAGGCGTCTTTGCTATGGGAGGGGGGTCTCCCCTAAAAAATAAGCAGAAATTTTATGTGACTGGTTTACTTGGGATGAAGTAGACAAGGTACCAGCTGTAGACAAGTGTTAAAAAAAAAAAAAGTTCTGTTTTTAAACTGTCTATGAAAGGGAGGGCATAAAAATTGTTAGTAAATCAGTATCACTTATAAAAATAAGATGAAACGTTTCCAGGAAATGAAATAAAATAGCACTGTAGTATATGTCTCAAAATAAGAGCACAAAAATAAATAAAATTCATATACATTCAAATAAAAGATTGCAGTCCAGAATAAGTCCATATATAGATTCCCATAAATGAGAGAATTAAAAAATATATATTACTAATTTAAGTCCAATAGTCCACAAAGTGTAGCACAAGGGTAATCACACTGAACTGTGCATATAGGTGATGTACAGTCGTGGAGCCCTATTGCAAATGCAATATAATTCGCTGACTTTCAGTGAATATAAAAAGAAAAAAACAAAAGCAAAAGAAACTAAACTATATAAGAAAAAGCAACACAGTACCCAAAGTCACTGCTTGCTATTAAACATGAGCTAGATGAAAGAAGAAAAAGAAAAGGAAAAAATGCTTCTTAAAAATCCATGAACAATGCAGTGAAATAAAATAAGTTCATACACACAAAAATAGGATAAATAGTACAAACAGTGGCTCAAGATGATTTGTACGGATGCAGCATCAACAGTTCTCATGGTGCATATGGCTTCTGGGAACTGCAGTCCTCGTTGTGTGGTGTCCGCCGGTGAGGTCAGCGTGCAATCCATACAGCATTCCACCCAAAGCCTCACTCCCGGGTATGATTCCATCGATGTCAGAGAAGAATGATTCTCAACGTCCGTTTGTATGAGGATCTAGATCGGCTTGTGCACAGAGTTCGTAGAGTGTTGCCGTGGTAACTTTCTTCCACTAGATAGTGGATCTTGATCATGAATAACACTTGGTCTATGTGCTAAGCCTTGCGCTTTTCGTGAGGAAAAGCCTCACTTCAGAGGCTTCAATAATTGACAAATACGTGGAAAGATACTTATATATCCAGTTAAACAGCTGGTACAAATTACATTGTATCAAATAACTGTTATGAAAATGTTTAAATAACGGATCTCTTAGAAAGCACTGGTGAAAAGAAAAAAAAAAGGAGAAAAACTAGACTAGAAAGGTAAAGAATAACAGAAAAAAAGGTAAAAAAACAAAATAGAATTAAAAATAATAATAATAATAGAAATAAATATTAGAAATACACATAAAAATACAAATAAAATAATACAGAATTACACTCAATATAAAAATATAGAGAATAGAAATACAGGTACAAAGTAGAAAATAGATAATATATAGTAGATGCCAAATACTATACAATGGATGAGACTTGTATCTGACAAAAAGCAGATTATAGATACAGATCAAGAGACAAAGTATTTGTAATACATCTAAAGAACAAAGAAGATTTTTTTTATTATTATAAATCTTTATTGGGTTTTCATTAATACAAATATATATAGATAAACACATATTTAAATCACATACTCATCCATAAAGATATATTACAAAGTTTACAAAATTACAAACATTCTTAAACAAATGTGGGAAAAGTGCAGGACTGAAGCAGTGCTTGTTGCCTCTTTTATTTCTATACATTTATATTAATAGTATCTCTAAAGTGCATTAATTACTCAAACTTATATAGCAGTCCCTAGTAAATCTAAACATTTTTGTC